CCAAAACCTTTGTAAGACAAAAACAACACACATTACAGCATTTAGAGACAGGTAGTATTTACTTATGTTTTCTGTGACAGGAGGAGCCTATATGTATAAAAAAGGAACTTTAACAATATCTGAAGAAAGAAAGAAAGACAGAAAATCAAGTAAAATTCACTTGAATGGCAGAGGATATACATCCTATGAATGGCAGGGGATATACATCCTATGTACTTAGTATTTGACTTTATAGTAAAAGTTATGATAATTTATGTCACAGAGAGAGAGAGAGAGTACTGACTTTGCACACAACTTTCAATTAATTTTGTGTTATATACACAACTATCAATTGCAGCTAATCTTTACCAAGCACATCAGAAACAGTGAAGAAAACCGATATCTTCACTAAATAAATCACCACTTACTTTTCAATAACTTCTGATCAACTTTTAAAAGACAATCTTACAAAAATGTATCACGAACATTTTATGCAAAAATGTATCCTTGAATATTACAAACTTCAGTAGTTATGCCTAATATTGGCCAACCAAGTTAACCATCTTGTATACTTTTCTTTAAATATATCTTTCTTGGTTAAACTTTAGGCTAGTGATGAAACCTACTATTTCTGCAAACATATTTATCTTGAATCTACACACACACACACACACACACACACAAACACACATACTGTTACTCTACAATAACTACATAATATGAAAAATTACACATACAAATACAACTACCTTTCAAAACAAAATTAATGAGAAGAAGAAAAAAACTGAATTTTGATAGGATATCTAACGTTAGCCAAAAAGGTAATGTTACTACAATGCCTTTAAATACAGAATGTTTAAATCTGTTGAACTACTAAAAAACTACTAATATGGTTGTATTAACACAATTATGTAACATAGTTAAAACGTTATTACTATACAAGAACAATTCTATCTTCCTGGTTTGATTTTTTTGTGCACAAAATGGATTAGAGTAACATGATGTATCTTATTGGTTACCTTAACAACTTACGGTTACTATGAACGTGAAAACTACTACATAGTAAAATCTCATTTTGTCCAAACAATGTCCAACACTACATTACAGTTTTGCTCAGACATATCATATGTCACTAAAAACTGATAACACAAAACTGACAATATGAAAATAATGTGAAATGGGAATAATAGGATGAACAATAGGTTTTGTAAATACAAATCACATATATGTGATGCTATACAAGTTTTATAGAACTATTCCATCCACCTTCTTCTACACATCTTTACATTTGGTCCTACTACAAAATTCACTGTACAATTAAAAACAACTATGTTTTCTCTCTTTGACAACTACATTATAGAAATATTAAAATACCACAAGGTTACAGATAGATCTTACAACCCATCACAACACCACTTAACATTTATATATACACACACACACACACACATTTACATACACCACCAGCAGTACAGCTAAAGTGAGAAGCCTGATATTCAATTTCTACACAATGTGACATCAACATCTTCATGAGCTGCCAGTGAAGGACTTGTGCCTGGAAAATATTTATTCAGTTATTAGAGTCAAGTCAAAAAAGTAGCAATATATGTTGAGCTACAAATTAAAACATCAGAACAGTTAAAGTGATTGATTTTTGACACTAGTTAATGCAAGATAAAGCTAATGTACTTACAATGTACTACAGCAGGTAAACTGAAGTAAAGCTACATGTAATAAAAGTTTAACTCACAATGACGTGTGGGTTTATAATTAAAGCAAAGATGTACTACAAGTTAAAATATTTAAATGACTTACAAATTATGATATTTACAATGAAAGAGAGATACAGATTGTACTGTTTAAAACAAAGTCAGAAAATCATAACAGCTCAAATAAGGTGAAAACACATCACAATAGTTAACACAATGAGTTATTTTTAACTGAGACTAAGCTGCATATCACAGTAGTTAACATAGTGGTAGCTTATGGTATAGCAACTTAAAAATAACCTTGCATATAAAAACTTACATTAACTACCTTTGTCAAAATTCAATAAAATGATTTCAAACATTAGTTAATATAATTTTGTCAGGACTACAAGATACTGCAGTTTCACTATACAATTTACAAAAAAAAAGCTATTTTAATATTCCAGTATTTATCTCAAACTCTTAAAACTGAGAAGTTTGAAAGGAAAAACTCTTTCTTCATGGTGGAACAAAAATTACAAACTCATGGCAGAGATCTAAAATGTGGGGATGATAATTCATGCCCATGTTAGTGATAGAATTAAATCAACAGCAAAGACCAAGTTAATTTGTTTTATAAATTGAGGATCATAACATTGCAACTCAAACATGTACAAAGAATTAGAAATATAAGAAATACAACTTTTACATTAAAAAATAATCTAAATGACTCAAAGTTATTTAAAATATTTACAATTAACTGACAAAGTAAACTAACTTTATTAAAGATATCTGACCTCATAATGCCACTTACTTGAAAATTGACTTTGGGGTTGGTATTTTGCTACCAGATGGTAATGTTGCCGAGTTAAGATGTGGTGTAACAGGTCTCTTGGGTAACTCTGTTGTTCAAAAATATAAAATCACAATCTTTATCTAGTTGTTTGTGTTTTTATTACAGCATTTTCTTAACTTAGAACCCATCTTGCACTGCTTCTATTTAACATCTAAAAGTATTTTTAAACTCCAACCATTTTCATTTACAAGTTAGTATTTTTAAGTTTAAGCTGCATTTTTCACTTTACTACTTTAAATTTTCAGGCTATAGTGCTCAGAAACAACATTTATAAATTTAACTTACCACTAGGAAGAATTACTAACAGACTTTAGATTGAAACAGTTATTTACTGATTTATGATTTATACACATGTTCTATCAAAGCCTTTTACTGTTTTAGTTACTACTGTTATGATATTTTCTACAGATCATATTTAGTATTAAAGAATCAGTTATTTACTGATTTATGATTTATACATATGTTCTATCAAAGCCTTTTACAGTTTTAGTTACTACTGTTATGATTTATACATATGTTCTATCAAAGCCTTTTACTGTTTTAGTTACTACTGTTATGATATTTTCTACAGATCATATTTAGTATTAAAGATACGAGTTATAAACAAACCAAGTGAGGTAGCTGGCGTTTCTTCAGGATAAGTTACAGCAGATATACTTTTCTTCTTGCCTATACTTTGCTGTTTAGATGAAGTGTTCCCACACACACTGGTACAAATAGTTCTTGTACTTATACTGTCAGATGAGGGACTCTTAATCAGGTTTGTAACACTCCTTTTCTCAGCTAAGCATTCCGACGAAACACTTAAAGAAGGTTTTGTTCCTTGGCTCGTAACATTACTTCTTGCAGTTGCACCATAAGATAAAGAATTTTTTGCCAATACTGGTGTTGGAAGTAGTTCAGTGGCTTGAGGAAGAGAGCAAAATGTGTCCCATGCTCCTAGCTGACCAATGGGATGAAGAAGTGATGGTAAGAGTTTGTCTAGTGTTCCTGGCTGACCAGTGGGTGATGGCAGTGGAGAAGGACAACGATCACCTGCTGCAGTTTTGACCAACCCGAGATGTGGAGTTGGAATTCTTGTTCCAGTCTGACTTCTGAAAACAGATATTTAAAAGTTGTATAGGTTATAAAATGTTAAAAAGAAGTGAAATAACTTCTGAAAAAAAATTTACATTTAATATTCTCACCTGTTAACAGCTGAAGCTACAGCCTTTCTGCTCGGGACAGGAGTGCGTGGGTATGTTCGGACTTGACCCCCTCCCTTTATCTTGCCTATATTGGAGGAGATAGGATTGCTTCCTTTTGATGTGTTGTTTTGTAGGTTGACATCTTTCTCAGCTGTCAGATTTGATTCTTTTGAAACTAGATTGCATACATCATAGCCTGATGACTTTCTTCTGTGATGAATATCAGTCTTCAATGTTAGGTCTATAAAAGAAAGGCACCAGATAGGTGCATTTAGTTTCCATTCAAAGATGTTCTTATTTTATTGATTAATACAATGATTCCAAACCTTTTTCATCTCATGGACTGGTTTCCCTTACAAAAACAAATCACTACTATCAGAAAATGCAACAATTAAGTATATACAAAAATCCAAAACTCAAAACCTACATCAACCATTGTACCAAATGAACCAGGGTTTTTATCCAAAAAATCTGCCACATGTGTAATAACCACAAAATTCAGACTGTCCTCAAAAACAGCAAAATATTTAAACCCATTTTAACGAAAGTAAAAAAAATATTGTACTGGTCTTTAAGTATAAATGTGTTGTATATGGAGTTGTATGAATGTGGCAAATAATGTCAGAAAGATAAAAATCCCGTTAAAGGTTAGACTTCAGAAACATCAATAACTACCAGCCTCCTTGGACATCAAGTCACCATCAGACATCATGAAACACTAACATCATTTTGTTTTACAAAATTGTGAACTTGCATATCACAGGTAGATAGACTTAATCGATAATCATGTGTATACTACATTGTTGATGCATGTCTTAGCAACACACCTGACAGAGCTCTCAAAAGAGCTGGAATGATTGTTGGTGAATAAAATCTTATATTTAATGTGATACTTCACCTTGTAAGCTTTCTCTTCAAGTTGTTACATAATGTGTTTAAATGACAATAAAATAATATCAACGAATAATTAATTTTTTTTATCTTAAAAATTTTCTCCTTTCTTTTTCTTCTATTAATGTTGGACTCACAGAATAAATATCAGAAAACTTTAAAAGAAACTTAAGATAAATAAAACATTGTTGAAATACCAAAACTCCCAAGGTTTGGACAAATTTACTAGGAACAAATATCAAAAATCCAAACATCATATGTAGGAATTATTAATGGTAGTAAGGTGCAAGACAAGCTACTAGAACTATAAAAAACCCAAAAAAAACAGGTACATTCGTAGAGTTATCTAATCTCCAATAAAACATTTAACACTGGATTTATAAGAAGATCACTAATACAACTGATAGATTGAATGACCTAACTTGAGCCATTAAAAATCACAGGCTGTAGAATGTCTACTCCTGGCAATTTGGAATACCTGCTTAACTATTAGAGAGCTGACAAACCAAATTACATATTTGTTTTGTTTAGCACCTAATAAGCTGGCTTGCCCATTTGACCATTAACAACCTTGACAGAGTGGACCAACTACTTGATCTATTAAAAACCTGACAGGGTGGATCATCTCTTTGATCCTGATAGGATTGATTACCTACTTACTCAGTTGAGAACCATGACAGAATGGATCACTTAATTGATCTATAGAAGAATGACAAACTGAATCATCTGCTTAATCTCTAAAACAAATATGATTTCTTAAAAACATGACAGACTGGATTAAAAACTTCACCTGAATTACACTTTATGTCTGCAAAAACTTAACAGAATGGACAACCGAGTAGACATAGCATGATGAAATGGACCACTTGTTATAACAATCAATCTAGTCTCATATGTCCCACTGAAATGAACTACAGAGTGGACAGTCACTGGAGGATTTACTAAGGCTGGGACTTTGGTGACTTGGCTACATATCTCAAGTGTCATTAACAGAATATGAAGCAACTTTTAAACCACTAGTACAGACAAAAGACAAAACAGATTAAACACAAGCAAGTAACTGTTTTCTGTTGATTGTAGCTTGTCCTAGTCATAAGGTACCTGTTCTAAGAAAGGATCAGAAGCTCATAGATGTTAGTGTATAAATGGATTAAAAACATGCTGTAAGTTACACCCAATCAAGTGCATTCTGCTCACAGCAAAGTATAATGCAGCTTGCCTGAAAAGATACAAAGAAATGAAAAGTGTATTAATAAGACTTAAGGCAAAACCCTTAATTTAGATTCAAGGCACTTTGCACTACAGCCAAATAACAGGTAGATACATACTCAATTAGTAAGAGTCTAGAACTATGTCCAAGACCATTTTTCATATAGGAACATAATGTTTACGATACGTAAAAGAGTAAGCCTTGGTAGACATACAAAACTCAGAAGTCTTGCAGAATGCTACAATTAATGCCATATATTATATGAACTACATATGCCGGTGCAGTTGACCTTCACTGAGAAAATGGATTGACTTGCACGACCACTAGACTTCAATCCTAGCAGGCATAACATCTCACTAAGTGGTTCCAGGCTATAAATATTCCTTTAAACATCTCTTTCAGAGGAATGGTCGAGGATATTTCAAGGCCTTATCAATACCCTGATTTTAAGAACGTGACAACAGTGCCATCCTCCATATTAACCATTTAGCTATCACCTCCTTAAATCATAGGGATATAATTTAACTATTGTCATATTTTGTTCCAAAAATAAAACTAATAAATGAAATTGTTTCAAATTTGACAAGAACTTTTCTAAAGGCATGCAGTTTCAAAAAATAAAAATACTTAATTTTTCTAGTTATTTGCACTCAAGGTGATTTTCATGTTAAGTATAAAAATACTTTTTATCATACAGTTTCACATTTTATTTTCATAACCTCTAGAACCTACTAAGTGAACATCAAAAGTTTTTTAAGGTAAATGTTTATTTTATTTTCATTTTCTCTACCATATCACTAACTGTAGCTATATTATCATCAACATAAAATCAAATGAAATGTTTAAAATTGAGAAATAGAAATATGTACATACCTTTTAAATCTTCAAATAATTTTAAAATGTTTCATTGGGTTACATTCATAATTTCTTTATCTTTTCATTTATAGTTTATCTTTAATGTTTTATTTTCCATTTCTGTTCTTTACCGTTATCTTGACACACATCAACAGGTGCTCCCAGGTCATAATACGGTACCATTAGCAGAGATACTTTAGTCTTCACCAAAATGTTTTTGTACTTGCGAATGAAGGTGAAGTTAGGGTTAAAAAAGTTATTAAACCTTTCAAATAAGACTTTTAAAACATAAATAATCCCTAATTAACTAAAACATAAAAGTAAAACCTAAATACATTTTAACTATGTTTAACTAATATGTACCTATGTCAGAAACAATGCTAAGTACTAGTGAGGACAAAGGCACCAACAATAAGTATCAACAAATAACGTGCACCAGTTTTAAAATAAACATAGGAAAACTGTAGTTTAAAATAAGCTCTTTCTGTTGATTATAAACATGTACATCAAATAAGTACATGTTGTTTGTAAATATCAGGTCTAATTATAGAAGGTGGGTGTGACTTCTGTCAAAGAATGGAATAATTTATTTTGTTTGTTCACCTGGATCAACCTGAAGGAACTTGAAAAAAGAACAGGTAAACAGTGGAGTAAATGTAGTTTGTGCCTAGACATTCATGTAGGTGTAGAGGTACTACTATTTAAGTTATAGAGACCAAAAATTAAGATCTTGGAACGCTTGTGTGTCACTTTACAACAACACTGAATTTTAAGTATTTTTTTCAAGGTTTCTTTTGAAATAAAGGAATTAAAACTTAAATAATATAAAACTTTGAATTATAAACTACATGATAATGCTAATTTCATTAGAATACAATGACAGTAAAGTAGTTTAAAGATTACATGACTGTCAAAGGGTTAAAGTGAAATTTCATAAACTGCATACATATAAAGCCACTTCTATCAAATGATAATTAATTAACTGTGATGAACCATTGTTTATTAGCATCAGCCATATTTAGCTCATCTCAAGATAAAAGCAATGCACTGAAGAATAGAGAATGAGAAACTTCTACATTCTTTGGAGGATAACAATTAATGCAAAAATATTATATTAAACAAAACTTTACAGTACTGATTGATTTTGGTAAATGAGCACACAAAAAACAAGATTAAACTACAAGTCACATCTCAGTATTATGTGTATTAAAAACCTGGGACATTGTATCATCCGCTAAAAATAAAAACTAAATTAATAATAAAGAGATTATAAACTGTATCACCTATAAAATGTATTAAAAATGGGCAGATTGAATCACATACTTCTTTTTGCTCTGGCTGCTATTGGGCTAGAAGGAGCAGAAACAGTAGCTCTGGGTGGGGAAAGTGATCTGTAGGACCTTAGCTGTTGACTTTCATTTTCTTCTCTAACATTTGAACTTCTAGATGAAGGTTTATCTAAACAAAAAAATATAAAAAAAAACTGATTTTTTCTACAAGTGTAATATTGGTATGTCAAAATGTTTAATGTAATTCAGTAAAACCTCATGACATGCACACAAAAAAAAGTTTAGAGAATACATGGTTGTCAAAGGGTTAAATTTCATTAACTGTAAAGATGTAAAGCCACTTCTATTAAGTGTTAATTACTAGATATCCTCCCACTCACATCAAGTGTGTTAATATTACTTCTGGGAACAAAAAAAATTTCTGTGTAAAAGTAAAATACTGCTCTTATATCATTTTCTTTAAATTGTTGGTATTGATTCAGAGACAGATAAAACAAAAAATAAGCCCTTTGATTTTTATCATGATTGTATAACAATTACTATTGTATTCAAACGAGTTGCAATAAACATTTGTATTGTTGTAGTGATGTGCCTTCATAAGAAGTAACCTTATTGTTTGTTTGTTTGGAATTAAGCACAAAGCTACATAACGGGCTATCTGTATCGAAACCCGGTTTCTAGCATCGTAAGTCCACAGACATACCGCTGTGCCAATGGGGAGCTAACCTTATTGAGTTACTCATTAAAGTTTAATAAGCTGCCTTGATAAATCATAGTACAAGATAGTTTACTCAAATTGCTAGTGTGTTTTTGGATAATAAAAATCAATAATATTAAAAAGTTCTCTGTAAAAAAACTATACTAATTATACCAAAGTTGAAATTGTAGCCATCTATTTAAAATGTTATGAATAAAGCAGTTGTAGTTATTTGTAAGACTATCATTGTTTCTGAACAACACTTTCATAAATAAAGCTCTTAAAAGAAAAGTTTGAAAAAAAAGAATATTTTATTTAATATTTTTTATTAAAGGCTCTTTGTAGTCAAATAATATATTTTTTATAACAAGTTGTATTATATTTTACAGCAAAGTTATATATGCCACTTTTCATACTTTTGAAATACTGAATAGAGGAAAGGTTACTAGTCAACAGTACACTACCACCCATGTAAAGGGATTGACTGTCACTCTTATAATATACACACACACATGTGGATTCAAAGCTAGCTCACCAGCTGCAGAATCCAAAGTTCTACCACAGGGATAACCCACACTCCACAACAAGTTATTTTTAAGTAAGTAAATACCCAGTGAAATACCTTTTCTAACAGGAATTTTTCCTCTCCTGGTCAAACTTCCAGGACAGGACTTTGAATCAGACTTGCACTGTTTAGTTTTGAACTCTTTTCTAAGTTTATCTTCCTGTAGATAAACCAAATAGATAAGATTTGTTATTCATTCTTTAAGACACTAATCAAATTATTATAAGACAAATCTTTCTCAAATTACTGATTAACAAATATTGATTAAAATCTTTATCTTATCTTCAATAAATCAGTATATTAAAACTACTTCTACAAAATCAGAACTGGGATTTTGCATATACAGCAACTTTTATTTGATAGTTTGCAAAACACTTAAAAACAATCTACTTTTTAAACATCTTTCTTATAGTATTATCAGAGTAAAAGCAGAACTTACAAGTTCTAACAACTTCCTTTCTTCTTCTTCTTTTCTTAAATCTTCAAAATCAACCTCTGGTTCAGCAAATGAAGATCGCTGAGAACCCTGTTTAAACATAACAGGAAGTTTTTCATAATGCATTTAAATAAACACAATCTCTAGATTAAACATTAACAACTTTGAACAAGATATAGTACATATCATGAGATTTTTGTTTTCCACTTTGAGAGAGTGCAAATTTGATAGAGATAGCATAAGATTCTTAAAAGTTGCTAAATTTAAGCTTTTTTTCCTAGTATGCTGTGTCTTGTAAACACGTTTGCTGTTTCATTCTAAGCAATCCACACCCTACTGAATGAAATGGTTTAAAGTCTTCAAATTTATGTAAATGTTACATGATTTTACAGAAGATCTGTTCATATATTTAGTTCAGGAGGTAACCATGTCAGAAGATACTAATAAAAAGAAAGAAATCTGGGTACATGATGCTCTTTAACCCTCTTGTCTAGTCCCACCTACTTTCATTTTTCTAAGAGTTTATAACCAATAGAAAGAGCGGTACTTGTGTACGTAAGTCTTATAGCCGTTTGTAAATAGCTCAAAGGAGAAAAAATCGTAATTTTACCTAAACTGTTGAAGTGTGATGACCATGTTGTTGCTCTGAAGAGAAACGAGATTTTTTAAAACTCGCATAAAGCTTGTTTAGACACCCAAATAAATTACAGGTGTTTTGGGTGCACTAATATAGTAAATTGATTTTTTTTTTATATTAGTTTATATGCAAATTTGAAGCATAAAAAATTAATAACTCTACACCCTCCATTCGGAAGAATAAACGAGGCTTACGGTGAGGCTAAACACGTGCGGCGCTCGTGCACAAAGTCTTGTAACCACCGTAAGTACTCGAAATCTTTGTTTTTTGAAATATATTTTCTTCATTCTTGTAGCTTTTAAGGGGTCAAGTTGGCTATCCCTTTGCACGTGCTTTGTTGCTTTCAAAGGTATCGTATTACAGTGTCATGTAAACAGCACACTGACACAATCGGCGATTTATTGCTTTATATTCAGCGGATTTCTACTTCAGTCGTAGACAGTAAATACACATAGAAAATAAATGTGAAATGCTTAGCAGTTGAAACTCTCAAGAGAAGTTCTTTAAAATCTTATGAATAATAATCAAGAAAACAGGGCAAAGCTGCTCATTTTATTTCTGATTTTACAACTCTTTTCATTATACTTTGATGATTTGTCTAATGGCCGAAGAATAAAATATACTGTTAGGGTAGAGGTAATAACAGATGAAATATAAAGTTTTACGATAAAAAAAGTTTCATATTTACTAAGGAGGTTAAAGTGATTACAAAAATAGAAGGTTGAGATTTTGAGACATGAGAAATATTTTTAATCTTTACATAAAAATCACTTTGTTCTTGCAGTAGTAAAAAAATATTCGATTCATTCACAAACAAATTGTTAGCAAAAATACTTCATTAAAAAAAAAAAAACTGATTTTTTTGTACAAACGAAATGTAATGTTTACTAAAATTCTGCTAAATTTTGTTAAAGTATACATACTGTATTAAAAGTTGTAATATTAAAGCTATATACAAGTAAAAATTGTCACGTGGTCAGTGCCTTGGACCGAGCCCATGTTGAACGAGTTAACAAACTATCATAAATACTTAAGTATTTTGAAATAACATTTAAGATTTCATTTATAAAAATGTTTTGAAGGTATACTTAAAAATATTCTCTTTGGGATAGTTTATCATTAAAAGAAAGAAGAACCATTATATGATTACTTACTGGTTCCATAGATACCTCAATTTTGTCCAATTCTTCAATAGCCTGAAAATTGACAACGTAATTTCAAATCAGAAAAACAGAATGTAAATTTTTGTCAATACTATTCATGAATATTATTACAGACATATTATATTTTGAAGCACAGATTAGTATTAGAAAACATGTCATACAATCATATGACTATCAAACCTCAGAGTCCACTCCTTATTTAGTAACAAAGAATAATTTTGTAGTTATGACTTGGAATGCTTAATTTCTTTTCATTATTTTACATTAAAACAAATTTATAGAAAATGCCTTGCTCACAACTATGATTAAAAAAAAACAACAATAAAAATTTCAGTTCATTAAGTTATTCAATTTCTGCTCTTCCTTTACTACATACAAGTGCATTTCTCTGCCATGGAACCACTCATATATATTAATTTTTCCAATACTTACAGATGCTGTCTTTCAGTTACTTGATTATTCTCTGACAGCCAAAGCCTATAGAAAGTTATTATTTTTTGTATTTAATATTTTACATTTTACTTTTCTTTTAATAGGTAGTTTTGCCTTTTATTTTTAGATTAGTTTATTGTTTGTCAAGTTTAATATTTTATGTTATGCTCCTCCTCTTTTTTTTCTTTGATAAGCCTACCTAGATATATATAACCCTTTCCAGCCAAGTACTTCAGGTTTTTACAAGGACAAAATGATGCCATCAAGTTTTGAAAAATTATCAGAGATATATCCTTTCATATTACATACAAAACAAAATTATCACTGAAATGCTGAAATTAAATTTTCTTTTGATGCAAGTTTTATTGAAATTTATTTTGAATGAAGTATAAAAAAAAAAAAAGAATTGCCAACATTTAAATTTCTCACCTGCACAAATATAACTTAAAAGTGGTTGAAACTAAGCCACAAATCTGTAAACTTTGCACTGGTTTGAGGATTACTTTTAGCTCAAATATTTTGAAGATGGTGAAATTTTGAAGTTGGTGATGCCAAGAACAGTAAATCAACCATCCATATATTTTGTTTTACAAGTTCTAAGTTTCTGAATCTCACATAACTGTAAATATATCATCTGAAACATAGGATGATTTTCTTTCTTGCGACTTATTTGCCATAGGGCTCTTTTCCTTCCTTGTGTAATCACAGTAGATTGTAAATTTGTGAAATGTTTTACCATGTTTCAAGATTAATCACGGTTTTGTCATACATTTACCTGAAGTAATTACCATGGCAGTTAATTTTTTGTTTAAAAGAACTCGTAAGTTTAGTAACACAAGGCCAACGTGAATGCTCGCATCATATTTCAAGTCTTGGGTAAAGAATGAAGCATATTTTTAACATGAACACAAATATAAATATTACAAAAATAAAGACACAGACAATTTTTATGTATAAAATACAGTAAGATAAATAACATCTATTTGTATTAGTTTTAATGATTTCTTTTATTGCACCACTTATTTTAACAAAGTGGCTTAGTGAATTGTGTCATTAGGCCTACTATAGTATACATAAAACAAGTAGCTTTTAAGTGAATCATTGCATGGGTCATGCATAATGGTACATGGTTATATCACGTAATGTTTTTAATTGATTGTAAATCATAAATTAATTGAAAAAAATAATAGTACAAAAGGTCCCACAGTTACATGTCACATATTCTAACTGTCTGTGTTCCTGGTATAGTAACTTTGATGAATTATTAATTTTTATTAATGCATGGTTAATGGTGGCAGTATACCAACCACTTGACTGGAAAGCATTAAATCTTCAAAAAAACATGATACTGCTTAAGTAATCTTATTTTCACATATGAGAAAAACAATTGCATACATATACTCCAAGATCAAGTACTCAGTTTATCCAGAAATCTAAACAAAAACACCTTAGATGAGAAGAAAAAAAAAATACAGCCAAGAAATATTAAGTGTGTGACTTAAGAATGAAATTAAAATTGTCGGCCAAACTGGTAGCTACACTTATGGTACTGATAAGTATTTTACAGCAAATATTCATTCATTAGTTAGCTAGGCCATTTTTTGTTCAACTTGGGCCATGATAGTGGGTAAAACAAAATATGTGGCCTAGCTAACTAATGAATGAATATTTGCTGTAAAATTTTTATCAATATTATAAGTGTAGCTTACAGTTTGGTCACCAATTTTCATTTCATTCCTTGAAGTTTCAAATTCAACCCTTTTTTTTTTTGGCCCACCTTTTTTTCACACCTTATGTGTTTTTGATTAGATATAATGACTTTATGTCAATACACACCAACAAACCACAGTAAGTAAGAAACTGACTCTCGACGGTATCCAACATTAGCTTTAGGATTACAACCCTATTATTCAGAACCAACCTATACTTCACACAACCAACCAGATCCTTTAAAATATATGGTGGTAGTTTTCCTCTCTAAAACAGTGTTAATAACTTCTTTTACAGTAATTCCATGGAAACTGGATTAACACCCATCACCCACATGCACTTGGTGCAGCTGAATCACGCATCATTATTTACACTGATTGCTTAAGCTAATATCACTTGATGCTAAATGCTCTTTGATTAGAAGAATTTCATAACATTTAGTGCATATGTGCTTAAAAGTTCAATAATAACCATCCACCTGTATGATTGTTTTGAAAACTTTAGCTAGAAACTGCTAATCTAGTTTGCTTGGCCTAACCAACACTTGTGTATCTGCATGTACTTTCACCCTATAGTTGTTTGCTATTCTAAATCAGCTGTCTTTAATTCAAATGACAAAAATCTAAAAACTGTCCATCTTTACTCTAAGATGAAGCTGCAGTAAAAATTTCAGACTGACAGCTTACGTGACTTTTTGTGTAGGCATGCACAAAAATTTTGATCAATATTGAGCAGTTTTGTTGAATAACTTTGCACATGTGGTTTATAGTTAGAACAGATTTGACACCTAACTGTAGCTATTAAAGATCTATCAGTGTACCAAATTTGAAAAAAAAAAAAAATACCTTGAAACTTATGTGCATTTTTTTGTTTTTATATAGATCAAATAAAGTTTCTGTTCTTTCAGTGTGAAGAAATAAACAGGAAAAAATTCAATCAAAATTGGAGATTTATATCTTGTGTATTTCTTAATGTTTTGCATTGAAATTTGGTACGTGAAGTAAGGGTCCAATAGAGCACATCCACTGAAAATGTGAGTTAGTTTGGAAAATTGCTAAACTATCACTCCTTTTAATAACACACAGTGTGTCCTGCAGGTTGTTTTGGCTGCATGACACACTACTGTGTGTTTTGATTACTACAAAAATTATCACCATTGTTCAAAAGTAAATGTCTTTAGTAGGTTAGGATTATTGTAAGTACTTTTAAATTAAAACTGTCTACTATATATGAAACAAAAACACTTCATAAGTAATAAACAAAGTAGTGAAAACTCACAAGACCCACAGCTGCTGTTACATCCCTATCCTTTTCATTAGTCATCAGTCTACTCACACATGACTCCAGCTCTTGGAGCAGAGGACTGTCTACTGGGATCATTATAAGGGATTTTAACTGAGGTAAAACTGAGCAGAGTCGCAGTCGAATGTTTGGAACAGAATCACCTGTTAAAATAAGGAATATTAATACTATGCTTGAGAAAACTATATAAATTATATTAAAGGTATCAGCGTGTAAAAATTCTAAATCCAAAGCTATTTTGTATTATCAAACGACTGTCAAATTTAAAGATGTCGCCAACTTCAGAATGAGTTACATAAACTTAAATTAAGCCACTACTTAAAAATGTTAAAAAGAGAGAAACAAAAATTAAGTCGTATTAGTAGAAGGATGTATTTATTAGTTTTGTGATTAACTTGGCCACATTGTAAATAAAGGAAATACTGTTACTTTGGCTTGACTAACCAACATTACAAAAGGAACAATGCACATTTCATTCAAGCAAATCACGTTTTCAGGTGAATTATATTAATAAGATACATATCTGTTTATAGAGGTAATGAAAGGGAAACATTACCATTTACAAAAGGAATGAACAGATAATACTAATAACATAATAGGTCTGACTGGCCACAAGAAATAACATGGAAATAAGAATTTAGCAACAGATTACAAAATTTTACAAGCATTGCTAGCCCTTATTAAAAATATACAGATTAATTACTGTTTAAAGAAAGTCTTAGCACCAAGAGAGAATATTCATTCATTGCTGCTGGCACTTGCATGGTATTATAATGATGGTACTCAGCCCTAAAAGTGGTGAAAAGAAATGCAGTTTAAATAGGGTTTTGAAAACAAGTGAGAAGGTTGGTCAGTCCTGTTGGTACTTACATGCCAGCTCTAAAAGCGGTCGAAAGAAATGCTGTTTAAAAAACGTTTTAGAGAAGAGTTCCATGACTAGCTGGCAAACTGATATAAACAGCATTCTGCTGTGACAACTTCTTCCATGACACAGATCTAAAATAAATTAATTTGGTAAAGAGAAGATTCAAGCAAGAATAAATTATTTATTTTAAACATGATCTGTAATGATCTGTTTCAAGTAAAGTTACAGAATATTGTATAAATAGTAATATACATGGTTATAACACCTATAGTTTTAGACATTTGGAACAAAGAGAGAAATTGAAAGATCTATAAATAAACAACAAAAAAGTTAAAGAAAATGTTCAGTAAATTAGGAAGAGGAAACAAAACAAATCACATTTAAATTTAAAATAATAATAAGAAAAAAGTAATACAAGCAGATGCAGACAACTCAATATTAAAACAAGAGCATTGTTTCATCAATTGTCAGAGGAAAAAAACAACAACATGTAAACCAATTAAACTTTAGATTTTTTGCTTGGTCTTACTTTTTTTTTTTTCAGTTTTGCTTTCTAATATGAAACATTCCAAAACCTTTTTTTGACCTAGATTGCATTTCATGTTTAGTTTATACGCCTTAGACAAATTAGTGCATTGATTTTAATACGAGTTGTCTTCACCCAATAGTAACTACTTGTCAAAATTACAAATCGTTAAACAAATTCAAAATTTACACAGTACGCGATGATGTGTCAATATGTGGATATTATTAAAATATAAACTTCCATTCTTTTTAATGTATATAATCCATTTAGCAAAGATAAGTTTTAAGAAAGAGATTATGCCATCAACACTAAACAAAGTACAAAATTAAATAATGTATATCTGTACAGAGAACATCAGAAAAGAAAAAAACAAACATTTTCAACCAATATAATAAAGGATGTAAACATCTTATATGTATCGTCAGTGTCTCCTAAGTAGCTAAAGACATTAAGAGAACTTAGCCAGGTTTTTCTAGTATCTATTACACACCTACTGTTAATCGTTCAATGATAGACACCCGTCGATCAAGCAAAGGAATGTTTCGAACTATCACCAACAGCGTATATGCTGCAGCTAGCCGACAAGGTATGGGTCTCTAATGGATAAAAAAGATTTGGATAGATTTTGCTTGATAGTAATGTGACTTCAATAATGCTAACCATCCAAGAACACCAGTAACATTTTAATAATAAAAAAGAAAACACTGCACATACAAAATTATATATATAAAGCAAGTTACATATTAAAAATCTGGTATTCCTGTCACAAAAATTGGTGTGATGTATGTAGGCCAAAGATTATGAAATTTTCAATAAATTCTATGCTGTTAGCAATTATTCCTTGTTTTATAAGTGGTAGTAAAACAGGTAGAATAAAGCACATTCTGTTATTAAAATTTTGTCATTATTATCTCAAGGAAAAAAACACACCAAATAATTAGTGTAAAGTTCTTAAATATTAGCAATTAATTTGTGCCAAGAGTCTTGAAAACTGATCTTAAATGATCTACATAATCTCAGAAATACACATATCAAAATAAGCAGTTTTGGATAATCCAAATAATCCAGTCATTCTCCAATTGCTTCTTTGATGTCTGAATACACTATAGCTTAGAAATTGTCAAACCAGAAACACCAGGAGTTGCTGAGACTTGCAAGTGAATTTCATTGAAAAAAAAATGAAGGAAGAACTATCACAATGTTTGGAAGACTTTTACAATAGGGTTAATTGATCACGTAATGAGCTTAGATAAATGTCTGACAATGCTTTTTTTTTATAGTAAATTTTATCTCTTTTAACATGGTTTTGTATGCACACATCAAAACGAAAGAAAGGTCTGCACAAACTCAATTATGCCTACAGTTCTGAACAGACAATACGATGAAAAATACAATCATGATGAATTCAAGTATTAGTGAAGCATAAGAGAAGAGAGAAATATATATAAATTGGATTATTTTGGTTATGATTTTGAATGTTGTGCTCAACAGAGCTAAATACACAAGTCTATTACTCACAGCAGTGTGAAGTCTGTTGAGAAGAAGAGGAACGAAGGTATCATTGAGATGTTCTCCAGGAAAACACTGTACCACACAAACTAATTGGGACAAGAAATCAGCATAAAGTCTCCAATTACTGGTCTGAGATGTTGCTTCTTCACAGATTAACAAAGCTTCTACCAAATTCTCCAAACTCTCTTTTTCCTAGATAAATCATTACAAGAAATTTTACTCAATCTGTTAATCATCATCTCAGAGAGGTTACTTGCAAGGTTTAATATTCTATCAAATGGCTTTAAATTTAAAAAATACTAAATTCTTAAAACTATCTAGGACTCTTATATGTAAATTAAGTGACAGCATTACTCCAGTAACATAAATCTCTGAAAATGATGGTTCCAGTGGATGGAGAACCCGTAAAGAAACTTGGTCATCCTATAAACAAAATACAGAATTAACTGTGAAACTGTTATGTCAAATATAAGAAACAAATTACTTAATAACTGACTTTTTTTTTGAAGAAAAGTTATCTATAGGAACACCATACTAATTAACTTTTCATGTGCACATATTGTAAGAGAATATCTTAAATGTATTTCATGAATAAAATCATGTTATTACAATATACCTTCTCATCTCTTAGTTCATTACTTGAAGTTATAGCTTCCAAAGTCTCTGGTAAGTGAACCACAAGACCTTTAATAACCTAGGGAAGATATAAAAAATAAAACAATAATCCACTTCATTAATAAATGTCAGTTAAAATCTGTCTTTTCAAATAGATCCACCCAAGAAAATTCCAGAATTATGTCATCATTCTAGCTTTGAAATTATATGAATTCAAACATCATACACTAAATAATACTTATTTAACCTAAACATTTCAATTCAAATAATTCTATAAATACAATGGTCATGCTATTCTATATTTTCTTGTTTGTGGTATTTATGCAAGACTACACAAATGCTTTCTGTGTTAACCATTATTAATTGTGAACTGAAAGATTAGAGACAAGGCAACTAGTCAACAGCACCCGCTACCAACTCTTGGGCTACCCTTTTTGAAAAATGGGATTTGATTGTCACTATCATATTGCATCTATTGCACCCAAATTTTGCTGCAATGGGGGACAAATCATGGACCCTTGGATTCAATCTAGTAAATAACCACTAAGCCATGATCATTACTATACTACTTGTAAGAGTTACAGTCAGTTAACCTAAGGCTAAGAAAAGTTCTTGAGGACTCTCAAAAACTTTTATGATGGCAAAGAAAGAAAATGTAATATCATAAAATACAGAATATATTTTATAAGTAACCAATACTAAAAGCACACAGGTTTGTGGTCAAAAATAAGTAACCAATAATAAAAGCACACAGGTTTGTGGTCAAAAATAAGTAACCAATAATAAAAGCACACAGGTTTGTGGTCAAAAATAAGTAACCAATAATAAAAGCACACAGGTTTGTGGTCAAAAATTCTCAAATTTATTCTTTAATCAATAATCCATAATTGTTGTTACACTTTTTATCTTTAAGTTACAGAAGCATTAAGAATTACATAATTGTAGCTCTTACTATAAAAACAGGGTAAAGAATCCTTTGCAGTTTTAGACATGGTGTTTGATATATATATAAATCTATTTAGCAGACTTCTAGCTTGACATTATGATCTATCTCCACATTGTCATCAAATAATTATTATCAATTTTACATAAGTATTTCAAGAACAAATGCTTTTTACCTCAAGTGATTCATCTGTTAAAAGCTGGATTAGTTCTGTTTTGATAAAACATGCTTTTGTTCCCAGTAGCTTGGCAACCTGTGTAATTAGTAAGTATATTTATTTCATTTGGTTGTAGTTTTTATATTTAAAGAATACTTTTTCATATTACAAGTTTTAGGAAATGATTTAATTTTATGCTTTAATGTCTTGCTTATACCATGGAGCACCCTCTCTCTCAATGGGCATTCTTACTTTATACCATTAATTCCTTTTAACCACTGCCTTCACCTGATTTTTTATTCTTTATTGACTTCTGCACTCATTTTACATTTTCTCTCTTTATAACAAGTGATAAAAATTCAGTGTTTACTTATCACTATCCACAGTCCTTATTTACCTTGCATTTATTTTTTTATTACCCACTGTCCTTACTTTGCATTACTTACTCTTTACTAACCACTTTCCTTACTTAGCACTCTTTACTCTAATATTTACTAACCTTATCTTGCATAATTTATTCTTTATTATCCACCCTTATTTTGCATTGTTTATATTTTATTAACCACTTTGCTTATTTTACATTATTTACTCTTTCATACTGACTGTACTTATTTTGATTGTTTACTCTTTATTTAATATTAACTGTCCTTATCTTGCATAGTTTACACTTTGCCATCAACTGTCATTATTTTGGACTGCTTACTATTTACATTCTTACTTTGCATTGTTAATACTTTACTACTCACCGGCAATAGTTTACACTATCCCCTCTTTACTACTCACCGGCAATAGTTTACACTATCCCCTCTTTACTACTCACCGGCAATAGTTTACACTATCCCCTCTTTACTACTCACCGGCAATAGTTTACACTAT